AATTGACTTCATAAGACTTTAAATGGTTAATTTCTAGATGTAATTAATATATCAAGGAAGTGTGAGATTTTTTGTTTTATATAAAAATTTATTACTTTTCAGCAGATTACTTTTAACTTTACGCGAACTTCCTTTTCTGCATAAGATTATCGATTCTCGTGATCCTTATTCGTTTTTGTTAGATGTGAATAGATTAAGGTATTTTCTTGTCGAGTCTAGAGGTAGCATGTGACGTATCAAGGAAATATAATAGTTCACGAGTTACATTAAGGCCTTATTTCGTGATATGGAAAAAATCCTATTACGTGGACATAGAAGAATTTCATTGCATATCGTTGCTCCTCTATTGAACTATGTTGTTTCAACTTTCAATTACTCCCATATCTTTTGAGCAAATATTGTTTAATCATTCGTTCGTTTTATCTACTTTTCACAATTTAAAATCAACGAGTAATTAAATGTTTTTAATGCTATTTTGCTTATTAATTCACTCTATCTAGTTGTAAGTATGTAGACGTAGAAGAATGGAAAAGGAACCATGCTATACTACCAGATCTGTATGAGGCCCGGTAGTGTAGCCCCTCTCATAGTTCTAGGTGGGGTGGGTTTTTGGGGGTATTTTTTTAATCATGGAGCCCGCTGAGGTGAGAGAAAATGGGAGAGGAGGCTTGTACCAGACCTCTTACAGGTCTAGTAGAGGAGCATTGGCCTTAAGATCATAGGCGGAAGATATTACAAAAATGCTCTCTTTATAATTCTTTTGTCTAAAGCCAAATTATTTCTTATGCAATATTTGACTAAACATGATTGAGATTTGTTACAAATTTTTCATTACACGCCTTAATTTTTCATATTAATGATATTCCTAGTCAACAACTGTAATAGACATTTTATATGATAATTTATTATTTGAGGCATTAATTTTCTATAATATCGTTGCCTCAAATAAAAAGTTAATGACTCAAATAACAAACTATTATATACAACGACTATTGTAGTTGCTGACTATGAATTGTTTTATTTAATTTTTTTTTATCATAATTATTCATCATAAGGTTTACAATATATATTTTCTAATATATAAGAAGTGGGGGATGATCCAAACTTTTTGTGTCGTGGGGTCAAAAATTAAAACATAAGTTTTTTAAAAAATATATTAATGAAAATAAGTTAATATGTATTTTGATACTTTGAAAACGTCGTAAAATTACATCATTATCAGTATTATTAAATGAATTTTATTACTTGTATAGCTTTGTTTACCATTTCGTTGACAGATGCCGAGCGACGTAGAAAGTAAATGAATTAAAATAAAGTTCAAATTTAATCTAAAAAGTAATAGTAAATGAAATTCAAACTTGAAGCAAATGTAATTCGAAAACAATTCAAATTACATTTAATCCGTGACAATCCTAAAATTTTTTATAGAGATGGCAAGAGAGCGAGTATGGGACGGGTCGGTCATTTCCGTCATCATCCTGTTGGATATTTTTGTCATATTGCCCCATACCCATACCCAATTAAAGTGGGACGGGGCGGGGTAGGTCCCCTGCCCTATTTATTTTTTCTTTTTCTTTTTTATTTATTTTATGTCCTTAATTAGCAAATATTACTACTTTTTTTACCAATTTGTTTAAAACGACTTATGTTCTCTTTAAAATGATGATAAATCTATTATTTTTGTATGATAAAAACTTAAATTTTAAATGGGGCGGGTAGCGAGGCAGAGATTTTTTTTCGTACCTGCCCCATACTCAGTTCGAGGTGATGACCCTCGCTCCATACCCGTCCCATTTACCCGGTTAGGTGGGTAATCCTCTCCTCGAATTCCGTGGGTATCGGGTTGAATGGATTTTTTTTGCCATTTCTAATTTTTGACGTCATATTCTATATAAAAATTTTCTAATAAAATGAAGTAAATTATATTGAGAAATATATCGTGCAAAAATAATAAACGCTAATGAAATAATTGAATATTTTTTCTAGACGAGTTAGACATCTATTTTTGAAATGTACGTTTAACGCATATATAACTATTTTTTATATCCGTTTGGACCATTCAATACGACTACAATGTAGTTTTTAATATGAGCTTCTAGATGATATAGGTGATTTGTAGATTCGCATGGTATATGATTAGGGCTGGCTAGACAAAACTTAACATAAACCGCTCAACCCGATCAACTCAAACCAAACCGATTAGTTTGGGTCAGTTTATAAGTTTAATTAAATAGGGTTAGGTTGAAAATTAAATTTGAAGTTGGATTGAGTTGGGTCTTGGGTTATGATTTAAAACACAACCCGATGAATTAAAAAAATAAAAATCTAAGATGAAAAAAAAAATCTAAATAAACACAAGAGTAAAGAAGATATGAGGACTTGTAATTTATAAACGTCCATTTTATTTATATAGACCGATTCACACGATCATTTTGTACAAATGAAATATTATTTAACAATAAAGTAAAAATTCAGAACGTGTGATGAAATGAATAAATCCCGAAAGACTGTAAAAAAGAAAATACTTCATAAATTTTAAACTTATTTATATATTATTTTTTAGAAAAAAATCCCTTATATAGGTATTAGAAAAATAGAGGTTTTCAAATAATTTCAAACTTTAAAAATTAATCCAAATTCAACAAAAAAATAATTAGATCCAACTTTGATTGGGCCGCCGACCAACGCAATCCAAACCGACTCAAACTTGATCTGTTTGGGTTGGAAAAAAATCGACTCAATCCATTCCAACCCATGCCCACCCCTACGTACGATCGCCAAAGAATTTGTAAAGTTAGCAAATTTTCTAAATTTTCGAAATATTAATTTGAAGCAACCTACTTTAATGCGTCATAACTTTTGCTAATGTTAACCATTTGTAGGTCATTCATGAGCGAAAAACTAGGTCATCTTCAAAATTGTATTAAGAATATAATTTTTCGATTTCATTTGATATCTCGTGATTAGGGATGTTAAACGGGTTGAGTGGCTCGATCTCTCGACTAGTGGACGGCTCAAAACTCGTCAAGCACGAGCCGAGCATGAGCTGGAACTAACGAGTTGAGCCTTGCTCGGCTCTTCGAGCTCGTGAGCGGCTCCTGGGCTTGACCCATGAGCCAAAAGTTCACGAGTCCACGAGCCTTGGTAAAAAATATGAAGAAAAGTTCGAAAATTTTCAAAAAAATAAAAAATAAAAAAAATAATTGAGTTCGTGGGCCGAGCCACTCGTGAACTCACGAGCTCGCCCTTTGAGCATCGACTTGTTATAACGAGCCACGAGCTCGACTCATGACAAGCACGAGTCAAGCTCATGTGTTTAAGAGCCGGCTCGGCCCATCGACATCTCTACCCGTGATGAGTGCGTCAAAATCCCATTGACATCTCTACCCATGGTGAGTGCGTCAAAATAGGTTATAAAGAGATTAAAATAAATATTTTTTGAAGGGAAAATTTTTTTTGACCTCGCATGACCCATGTGGGTCCGCCCCTGATAAGAAGGTTCATAGCCCTTGTTTGATCCCCATTCTTGGATAAAAATACATTTTTCAATAATATTTTAACATCATTTCAACCACACATTTTTTAATAAAATAATATTACACACAAATCTAAACATTTTCCTTATTTTTTAATCACACATTTCACATCAATACACTATTCAAAAATTCATTCTACCCTCCAAAATGAAGCTCAAACAAGGCATAATTCACTGGCAAAAAAGGAGTAAGGCAAGAAAAGGGGTCAACATCAAGTAGACTTCAACCCGATCAACTAATACATTTGCCACCTGGCAACAATCAGTAAAACCCAAAATATCTGGTTCAACCACTGAGAATTTCCCATCTAATATTATAAAATAATTGATTAAACACCAGTTTATAATTTTGGCCATACAATTGAATCTCCGATTCGAGAAGCTTCTAATATCCGTTAACACGATCACTGACGAAAGGGGGAAGCCAATGTCTTCGACCGACTTAGCAGCACTCCTGGAAAACTCGAAGGAGCTCGACCGGTTGAGGAAAGATCAAGAAGAATTGCTCCTTGAGATAAATAAAATGCACAAAAAGCTCCAATCCAGTGAGTAGCAGTTTATGTTATTACTAGAATCCTATCTCTTAAATTACCCTAATTATGATGTATGTTGACGTTGCATTTAGTAAAATTTTGTAATTTATGGACACGCGGACGTTACGTGGAGGTTATTTATGAAAGAAAATATGTTTAAATGAGTATTGTTCCAAGTGTATTGCTTGTGATGCATGAATGGGTGATTAGGTTAGTGTTTTATTGAGAATCCAATTTTTGTGGAATTTGCGTGTCATTAAGAGTTCAGTGCACTTATATCCTTATCCAGTAAGGGTAGTGGGGACAATCTTTGATTGATTACTATTTGTATCTTAATATGTTTAAATGATTAATGGTATGTTTGGTAAGATAGATTGAACTGTAGTGGGAAATCTTATAAAAAAACAAAAAATTAAAATCTTGGTCATCGATTGTTGTATTGTTTGAAGACTTGAGAATTATGACAAGAGCTTGTATTCCCTGAAGTTTGTTCCCGAGGATATGTATGAGCTAATATTCATACATGAAATATGGGATAAGAGGAACTTCATGCTGGTGTAACTTTTTCAGTACCCAATGATGCAAATATGGTTGTAGTGTAACTAGTGTTCATTTGAGGTAAAATATGGAGTGATAGTCGTTAGAACATAGTTCCTCTTTTACATCATAGAGGTGTTTTGTAGGGATTTTATATAACAATTAAATTTATGTGTTGGCGGACTTATGGCATGCTGTCGTATATCTTTTTCACCTTAATTTCATTATATCTTTCTTACTGCTTTATTTGATCTCGTTGAAATCTTATCCCTTCGCATTTCACGTGCTAGCAAAATTTGTCCTGCATGAAGCATAGAAAAAGGAAGGAAAAGGAGTTTGATCACTCAAGTGTAATAGTTTGTTGAGATTCTCAAGCGAGGTAAATTATTCCATGGAGAAATAAGATGCACAAAAGTGCTTATCATAAATACTTGGATGGACCCAAATCCTAATAGCTTAAACTTTTGGATTACTTTTGCTGCAAGCATCTCTGTTAATTTGTTTGTTGTGGCAATCTGCTTTTCTGTTTCTAGAAGTAATATAGAGCCAGCCATGCTACATGTACACTAGAGTTTTACACTCTAGTGTACAGCCCCCTCACATGCGAGGGGGCCCACGAATTTTTTAATCAATGTGGGCCCCCTCTCATGTGAGAGGGGTACAAGAAGCATTTTTCATATAGAGCTGTAGGATTGACAGATCCTTAGGACTCTTAAAAAGCAAACAGTTACAAGGCATAATGGTTATTGGACGAGGCAGTAACATTCAAGATCTTGGAAACTGCTCATTAGAGAAATTGGTGAATATAAGTCAAATGAAGATATACTGATTAAGTCGAAGTTAGATGAAGATCTAGAAACCAATAGCACAGGTTCCAGATGAGTAAAAAAGAGCAGGGAAAAATGTGCGTTGTCCTTGGAGAGCTGCTAAGGCATAAGGCTAAAGACAAGGAGCCTATTCATGCTAGGAAGGTATTGGCAAGGTGTGACTGCTGCTTTGCTGACAGTGGAGGTCTCAAGCAGGAAGAGTGAAGATGATTGGGTGCTAACATGTGAAGAAGGAAACTCACATTAAAAATGTTAGATACAGTGTGAGTAACATACGTGGATGGGCCTCAGAACAACTTAACCTTTTTGGTTAAGGTTAGACTCCAAACATGTACATTTAGCTTTTTGTTGTGGACTCTTTAGGTAGATCCACTAGAAGTATATCATAGCTGACACTGTATATAGGGACTCTTTAGAATCATGCAAGTGGAACTTATGATGGTTTCTGGGCACAGGTGCTAATCTGCAGGCTGACTCTGGCAATGTGATCAATGAAGGATGATGATGAATGGATTTCTTACCATTCCCTATGTACTATGTTGGACTCCTGGTGTTGTTGATTGGTTACTCACATAATCTCCCTATCTAATTTCTATTTATGAGTGTTCTCATGCTAAACATGAGATGATTATCTTCAGAATTATGACAGCAATAGCTTATTCCGAGAAGTTTTTTGATGAGAATATATTCTGCTACTAGATGAGCATGCATTTGTGTCTTCTTTCCTTTTTCGATGCGTGTGATGTTACAAGTCTAGAAAGTCAGATGTGTAAATCAAATGTACTAGATTATTTTAAGTTGTGATGAAGCTGTCTTTGAAAATCCTCTGTTTCCAAAACAAATAATTATACATATAATCTTGGGGCTTCAGTTGAAGCCATCTAGACTGAAACATGCTGAAGAAATATTACTGCAGGACTACCATGATCACCCCCATTTTTACTATCATAACATAGTCTCCAGGTTTGGATTCTCTTTGATATGCTGGGTATGGTAGATTATTATCTCCATCACAGTATTTTAAAACAACTTGTTTCCTTTATTAATAGGAGACTTTCGACTTTTTCGCTATGTATAGCTCAAAAATATGATTGAAGATTTTAGTTCAGAGAACTTACTAAGCCCTTATTTAGTATTGATTAAAATTTAGATTTTAATTTAAGTCAAAGTCAATAACTAATTTTAATCATATATTTCATGGATCCCACAACTTTTCAATCACATATTTCCTCAACTTTTGGGAAAATTTACTAAAAATCCGAACAGGGCTAAATAACTGCTCATTCTCATTGGAATGATAATTTGTCTTCACATTTTTCTTTATTCTACTATTTTGCTGGAATATTTTATATGTTTCACAACATGTGCTATTTTGTAAACATCTTTATCTTGGATTTCTATTATCACATTTTACCCCTGTTTGGTAGAGATTAAAATTAGATTTTTAGTAGATTTTGATAGAAGTTGATGAGATACGTGATTGAAAAGTTGTGAGACCCATAAAATATGTATTTAAAATGAATTGTTGACTTAATTTATCTTAAAATCTTGATTTTAATCGGTACCAAAAAGGCAATTTATAAAATACTTGATACCAAAAGGTTATTATATTGTAATAAGTCAATTTTTTTTTCTTTTTGTTTCGTTTTTCATGACGAGTGTCTTGATGTTTCATGGTATTTGAATAAACAGAAGATGATCCAATTGTGCTGAGGAATGTTACTGCAGATCTAAATAATTTTCATTCCAGTAGAACTGTAGGTTGTTAAGTTGTATGAGGAGAGGAATATTATAATAAGTTAATGTGAATACCCGAGACATTATGATGGGATGAGTAACTTGGCATATCGACCCAAGTAGAACTGTATAGTAGAATGTGATTTTTTGCTAGACGAAGAAGATTGCTTACTTCATATATACGTGAAAGATGCTTCTCACATCTTGCTTATTCGATGAATCACACTCTTTTATAATTTTCACACTTTTTTCTTGTCCATGCAGCTCCTGAGATAGTAGAGAAGCCTGGTGATAACTCCTTATCTAGGCTTAGAATGTTATATATTCAAGCCAAAGAGCTGTCAGAGAGTGAAGTGAAGTATGTTTACTCTTTACTTTCTTGAATATGCTCCTGCTTCTCTAAATTTTCTTTTTGTTAGCCCACCCCATTCATGTAATGTATATGAAGTGCGTCTAAAGTAATTTTTAATCAATCGTTTGTGTGTGTGTGTGTATATATTTGTACTCAACAAGTTTATTTTCCTGTTTGATTGCAGCATTTCCACTCAATTATTAGGACAGCTGGATGCATTACTGCCTTCTGGGACTCCAGGACAACATCGAAGAAGGATAGGTATGCACATTCTATAGCCAAGCATACGTTTATGGAAGCACTGATGTTTTCTATAACTGTGAATTTTTTTACTTAACAATTATCTTAGGTAATGAGAGGTTAATTATCATGGTCATGCCATGTACAAAGATGTATTTGATTTTTTAGTCGCTAACATCTGTCCATTTTACTCTAATTTATTCCCTTTTTCTTCTTCTTCTCTCCTTGAAACGAATACTCATGAAAAAAAATATAAAACAGTGTTATATTTTTCACAAGATAAAACTATTGAGTATGATGAGACACAGATGATTTATCAGTGCAATATTATTAATTTCCTGTTAAGATAGAGTTCAGAAGTTGATGTAGGCTAAAAATGTGATGAGTTTGACATCTTAGCTAATGGGTACTGTGCATTTCCTTTCTGGTATTTTCTTTCATGTAACTTCGTTATTTGCTTATAAAATTTTAAACTTAATTTTGTGCAAACTGCAGAAAGTAATGAGCAGAAAAAGAAACGGATGAAACCTGATTCAGATGTCACACGACTGTCTCCTTCTGTGAGAAATCAGCTAGATTCTCTTGCTAATATGAAGGGTGAACAAGTATGCATTCAACTAAATTGCAATGAATTCTTTAAACTTTTTCTTTTAAAGCCACTTATGTAAGTAATGTAATTATATCTTTATGAAGGGCATAGGGATGACATTCTCGTTTTAAACTTGTGTGTACAATTCAGGTAGCAGCAAGGGTCACTCCAGAGGATGCTGAAAAAGATGAATGGTTCGTAGTTAAAGTAATCCATGTCGACAAGGAAACGAGAGAGTAAGTACCCTAATCACAAGCAACTTCAAAAGAAAATAAATCTTTTGTATCCTTGGGATGAAAAATTAGCAAGTTGAGAGTATATTGGTGTATAAAAATGACTAACAAAAGAATAGGGAGATTAATTCTTTATTTATTTTATGTATTAATTTTGTATCTTATGAACATATCTTTTTGTAGATTTGAAGTCCTAGATGAGGAACCAGGTGATGAAGAGGAAAGTGGTGGGCAGAGGTTAGCGATTTCCTCTCCTCTTATTCTGCATCATTTTATTTATTTATTTTCAATTTTAGAATTTCCATCAATTTACTGTGACAAGTCTTCTCTCGTCCTTATTATAACAGTTTACATATTTGTCGGCAGTGCCTCGGTCAGTGCTTTGCTGTCAAGTCTGTTAAAGTTTTTTGTTTTAATTTTCTCTTTATCTTTTCAGTTCTCTCGTTGTACAGAAGTCTAAAAAGTGTGGAAGACAACATTTTTATTTTTTATATGACAATTTGGGATCATAGAATACTTCACATCCAATTACTTCCTTCTTTCGGATTTTATGTTCATCGTCCTGAAGAAAAATCGTAACAGCTAAGCTAACTACTTTAGTTCTTCTTTCAATCCAAAAGTTTTAAAATATTTAAAATGAATAAGGAAATGGAAAAGAAATGTATTACAAGCTAAGTTCTTGTTTGAATTTACCGACATCTAATTTACTGTTCACTAGGTTTGCGAAAGAAGATGGGGGTCATTTTCGTTGCTGCTTCCTTTATACGGTGTGGTGTGAACTCATTTTGTGTTATAAGATTATTGCTTGTTGACTTTGTGGATGGATCGCCAAACTGTCTATTTCACGGTCCATTTCTTAGTGTGATGGCTATGAGTATCATTTTGGTTTTTATACTTAATTGATGAAGCAAGTGTTTTCACTTAACATCATTTTTAATATTTTCCATATATTGTGACTTTCAGAAAGTACAAGCTGCCTCCGTCACGTATTATACCATTTCCTAAGCGGACCGATCCCTCAAGTATTCTAGATTTTCCTCCTGGAAGACATGTTTTGGCAGTTTATCCTGGAACCACAGCACTTTATAAGGCAACTGTAGTCCAACCTCGTAAGGTAACAATGCACACTTTTCTTGTGTTGTAACTTAAGAAATCGAAATAAATCTAATTGTTGCTTGCTTATGCATGCAATGCGATGTGCTGCACTACGGATTTTAGAGGAAGACTGATGAGTAAGTATATTTACCTCTATTTTAACAGTAATTTATATGCTAATTTCATAAATCATGAAATAGATGGAAGAAGTATAACACGTATAATGAAATTTCAAACAGTTAAATTTTAGTTTCTTCATTAAAGTTGTTGGTTGTCCAATTTAAGCTTTCCAAGCATAACTTCTTTTTCAAACATGTGATTGTTTGACCTCGGCAGCTATGTTTTGGAATTTGACGATGATCATGAGGAGGATGGATCTTTGCCTCAAAGGTTAGTTCCCTTTCACAGGGTTGTTGCTCTTCCTGAAGGGCACCGACAATGAAGTTAATCAGTTATGTTATTTATAGCTTGTATATATATTTAAAATTTCACTCTGTGTGTATTGATTTCAAATCACGGTCACTAATACTTAATGTGGTATGATTTTAACTAGTGTCTAGTGATATAAGTTTATTGCCTTGTACCCGTTGACTTATACCCATGTACGCTCTATTGAATAAATTAAGTCATGTGTTCAAGTTTCTTCGAGGTGCGAATTCTTGCGGTAAAGTTGTAAATGCTTAACACTCATCTATGCTTGTTGCTTGTTAATATCTCAAGTGATATGTGAATGACTCAGGGTATGTTAGACTAGATATGATAGTGAAGTATTTTAAAAGGTGAACGAATATGTTGTGAGGAATGAAATCAACTTGTCTACTTAGATTAGCAAACTAAAGAACATAATACTACAGTAGTAGTATGTAAAACCTTCCCGACTCTTTGATGGCAATAGGCCCTTGAATGCTGAGTCAACTTAGGAGAAGGTGAACTTAAATAGAACTTCCTATTACACTTTCTATTGCAGTGGGGTCTCTCACCTGTTTATGCTTATCACCTTCGCAAATGGATGGATGTGATGTGAACTTTAATAATGCTTATAGTATTTTAATATCTTACATGGAACATAGTAAAACTTCTTGTCTTTAGATGTTTATTCTTCGTACCTTTGAGTTGCTGGTTTTGTGAGAATAAACCGATTCAACGCTATCCCATTTTCATATGACATGCTTGTGTGACAGTGATTGACGGATCGGATAGTGAACCGTTGATCGTGCGTTTAAAAAGCCAATGATTTGCAGCTTCAGTATAGTGAACTCCATCCCAGCTAATGACTCGAGAAGGGTTCGCGCAAGAACCTGCAAAAACTTCACTTCCATTTATGTGTCCTTTAGATCCGCACGAAACAAAATACTCAATTCCATGATAACCACAGCAGATTTTCGAAGAGTCCTCAAATCCTGTAAATAGAGAATCGTCGTTAAAATTAAATATTATCTGATGCGAAATGACCGCGATTGGTGATCGTGCCTGGAGGGGTGTGCATCTAGCGACTGGAAACAAGAAAATTAAATGCAGTAGTTAAATGATGATGAGCCACGAATTTTGTGGATGTAGATGGAATTCCCGAGAGCTGCAGGAAGTTCAATATCAATGATTACTTCAGTAAAGAGACTGTGTATAAAGATTTCACATGCTGAGTTTTCACACAAAAGTTGGCAAACTCAGGATGTTTTCAGTTTTTCCCTTTTTTTCAACTCTTGTATATAAAGGGATAAAGGTGTCAGCCAAGAGATCGAAAAATTGACTTGGGAGAGAAGCATGTTCAGTGTACTCGTGAAATTGGGCGTTACCATGAGCAATTTATAACTTAAAAGTAGCAGTCACAGTCTAACCCTTGATAACTGGGGTCTACAATGGTCCATTATCGATTGAGTGATTCTACAAAGGAAAAAAATACACAACTACAAAAGTTTAAATATTCAATTTTAATAATAACAAACTTGTGGAATAGTTTCAAAAATCAGGTGATAACATTTGTGATAATCTGATGACAATTTTATGACTTATTAATTAATTAAACATGTCAATATCACAATAACACATAATTTATGGTCACAATTACAAATTAGCAACAAATTTCATAAGGTCACAATAACAAAAACACGAATTATTACAAATTTAGTTATAAATAACAATTTTTTAGGTCATTTATTATTTATTGATTTCAAAGAGTTCACAAATCAGGTTTTAGTTATGCATAATTCAAAATTCAGGTTACAAGTTTCATTAATGCAAAAATTAGGTTTTAACTACTAATTAAAAATATTTATTAAATAATGATGATAAAGTCACAGTTAGACGATTAATGGTCACATGTTTACAATTATAAGTTACAAATTTATTTACTGGTCACATATTATCAAATTAATTGATCACAATTTTTTCGAGGTTACAAATCTAAAATTTTATTAATCACAGATTATTTCGAGGTCACAGATAAAAAAATTATAGGTTACAAATGGTCACAAATTCAAAAAATTATAGGTTACATGTCACATATTTTTAAATTTGATGGTCACATATTACTTTTTTAGTAACAAATGATCGAATTTTGAAGTCACGGATTAATATAGTCACAGGCGACCAAATAGTTGGTCATAGTCGTCAAACACCAGATTCCAATCAACCATAATACTTGGTCACAAACAATACCCTCGGCCACAACATCATCAAAACCACCGCCAACACCACTACTACCACTATGAAAATCACCAACTCAATAAATCCAATCGATTGAGACCACCGCATCACCATCCAAAACCACCGCCACTAAAACCACAACCTACCAAATCCAATCATAACCACCACATCACTAAAACTACTGCCATTAAAACCACATGCAGATCTGAGCATCGACTTTAGAAAAAAATTGTTCAGATCTAAGATCAAAGACACAATTTTGGCTTCAGATCTCAAATGTAGTACAAGAGTGTTGTGAACAGAGGCGATGGATTCGTTGTGAATGAAGGCGATTCACCACTTTGTGAACAGAGGCGACGGTGGGAGATTCGTTGTGAAGGGAGACGATTCGCCACTTTGAATCTACTCTTAACCTCTGTGATGTTTCCTTTCGTTGAAGAACCTGTAGAGGCCCATCGCCGACTCAACTTCGCCTATAGAGGCGCTGCCTCACGCAGCTTTAGAGCTGTGCTTCCACAATGTGATGATGATGTTGTGGAAAGAGGTGGATGGTTGTGGTGAAATGGATTTTGGGTGGAGGAGGGAGAAGTGGTGGTAGAGCAAAAAGGGGTTTATGGTACGTGACAGGGAGGGAAACAATTTAGGGTTTGTGGTTGGTTGGGAGGGTAAATTTTATAATATTATTAATATTAAGTTGGTATGATTTTTGATTAAATACACTTCATACTTGAAATTTGAAGTGTGATATTTGAATTCCGGCTCTAGTGTAATTTTCTCTTAAAATTACCCATTTTACGATCACAATTACTCCAATAATTGGTTGCATTTACTCTTCATCTCAGCCCACTCCACCGTGCTATCGCAACTCTTCAACTCACCACACCACAATCCAACCCACCTCCATCCCTCCTCACTTCACCACCGTCGACATCTCCCAAATTGCTGTGGTCATTTAATCACTACCACTATCAACTCTAGAGTCAAACCACTATCAATGCCATCACCACCGTCTTCAAACACACCCCAAAATCCACCATCACAACCTTCATAGTCAAACAGGGAAAAGATCTAAATCGTCGTCGCCACCTCACCAGCACCTCTTCCATTGTCAAACCATTATCATTGTCACCACCTCACCAGCACCTTCTCCACTGTCAAACTGCTATCATTGTCACCACCACCACCTTCTTCAAATACACCTCAAAATTCACCGCCACCACCTTTCAAACATGTGAGAAGATCGTAATCGTCGTCGCCCTCCTTATCATCACCCACCACCTCACAATCAAACCACTGTCATCACTGCGACCACCACCTTCAAACACACCTCAAAATCCACTAGATAGAATCATTGAATAAACATGTAAGAAAATAAGAGAGAAGTGGGGATGAGCTGCCTTCTCGAACAGTACCGCAATCATATTGAAGTTGAGTCGAATTGGAGAGGTCACCATAGCCAGCCTTTTACATCGCGCACTCACCTTCTTGTCTTGGCTTATGATTTTCTTCGCTTCTATCACATATCAAATGGCAATGGTTTATTTGCAGATTGTAGTGATGGGGATGGGCAAGTGGGTAGTGATGTGTATTTTGAATATCTATGCCATGGATTGGGAAGTGACAAGTGGCGGCAGGCCACGGTGATGAATTGTAAATTGTGACTTATGAAAATATGTTAAAGGATAGTTAAAATTTGATTTTTGAATGATAAATTAAAAACTAAGGCCATGTTTAATTTCCTTTTCTACTAAACTTATTATGGGAAATTACACAAAATCAGAGGTTTAAACATCACAATTCAAAAATCAGGGTTGAAGTTTCATTATACAAAAATCATATATCAATATAATAATTAATTATTAATCAACACCCAGTTAATCTCCAATCCCATTTTTGAAAACCTAAATCTCTCTCTGACTCTTCTGTCCAGTCGCCGTCTCCATTATCCGTCATTAGATCGGCGGCGCGGTTGATGTGAAGTTTCTGAGAGAAGCCATCGCTACTGGTGCTCCCTTATCGCTTTCACATTTACAGGAAGCTTCGTTCCTGCGCCTTGCCATAGCACTCGACAGTGCAGCCGTCTCCCTTTTCTCTATTATTGGATCGACGGTGCTGTCGATGCGGAGAGAAACCACCAACGCTTGCGCTTCCTTATCTCTTTCTATATAAGCTTCGTTCTTGCGCCTTCCACATCTCTTGACGGTGTGGTGTCAATTGAAGAGGCCTGTGAGCATGACTTTAGACATCTCATCGTTTTGTTGTTGTTGGCGGTGTTTATGGTGGTGTTGTGTTGGGGGACAGTGATGTTGGTGATGATGTTGATTTGGTGGTGATGAAGCCGTGCATCCTACCTTTTCTCCTTCTTTCTATTGTAACCGAGTGGAAGTGGTGGCGGTGATTGTGATGGTTGCGGTGGCAAGGTAATGGTGGTTGTGGAAGTTGTGGCGATGGTTGTGGGTGTAGGTGTTGGTGGTGTGATCACCGCTTGTGTTTGTGTGGAAGTGTAGTGGTGTAGTATTTAGGTGTTTGTTGGTTTTTAGAAGGGTGGTGGTGTCGGGTGGTGGTGGTGACGATTGGGTGGCCTGTTTGGCTTAGTGCGATGGCTATTGTTGAGGTATTTTAGTTAGGTTTGTTGGAATTTTGGAGTGGTGGTGGTTTTCATGTTGTTGGTGGTGTTGTTGGCAGTCATTGTGATAGTGTTATGGTGAGGTAGGGTAGTATTTGTAACCAAGTATTGTGGTGGATCGAGATCGGGCATTTGGTGTCTGTGACCAACAATTTGGTCCCCTGTGACTAACTATTAAATTGTGACTTTAAAATTCATTCAGTTGTGACATAAAAAAGTAATATGTGACTATCAAATTTGAAAATATGTGACCTGTGACCTATAATTTTTTAGATTTATAAACCGTGGGCTTAAAATTAGATCGTTTGTGACTTGAAAAAGTAATCTGTGACTAGCAAATTTGAAAATAGGTGACATGTGACCTATAATTTTTTGCATTTGTAACCAATGACATAAACTGTAACCAATGACATAAACTATAACCTATAAAGTTTTCGATTTGTGACCTCGACATAATTTGTGACCAGTTAATTTGATTAATACGTGATCAATAAATAAATTATGACCTATAATTATTCACGTGACCATTAATTGTATAAATGTGACCTCATTGTATTTAATTAATTAGCTAAAACCTGATTTTTGCATTAGTTAAACTTAAAACCTGATTTTTGAATTTTTGAATTGTGAATAGTTAAAACATGATTTGTAAAATTTCCCCCTTTATTATATTGGAAGTAGCCATCGAAATTGCCTTGACTGCGCGAGGGGCCCGTATACAGTAAATCTATTTCTAAACCTAGTTTGTGATCTGAATAGAAGGTGCCCACTTATTCAAAAAGAAGAAAAAAATTATACTTCAGTTGCATGCTGATAAAAATTACCTTCATTTTTGGCATTGCTTATTAGTTCATACTTAGCTCTGTACATGTCCACATATACTATCGCAGCTGCAGAAAGCTCTGTCCTTAGCTTCACAATTTCGACTTTGAGTTGTTTATTGAAATGCCGAGCCATATCGTTCTGGCTTTCGATACAACCATGCTCGTCAAGATACCCCGGCGGAGGATCTCGGAATTTAATCGTGCTTATCGGCAAGCATCCTATAGGACCTGTGTTGTGTATCCAAAATGTCCTTGCTCCTTTATTGTACAGAACCTGTAATATATCATTGAAATTTCAACAAAGTTAAGTGTAAAGGCTCATTTTACAGGGTCCTTATGGGGCATCTCACATGAGGTGGGTCCCACCTCATTAAAAAAAAATACCCCAAAAATGCCTCCACCCCACGTGTTGTGAGGAGCATGTGGGGCAACTATGAACCCCCGCCCTGGTACTGCAACGCTTCTCTTGAAATTTTATAGTGTCATTGCCAATCTATTATGGATTAAGCCTTAATCCTTCCTTTCAAGTAATAATTAGAAAACCATTTGAAATTGTGCAAAACACACTGATTTATAGTGATTCGTCCTTAATGTGAGAGCTACTTTCATCGGACAGTAAATTTTTCGTGGAATGGAGAGAGGAGGATACAAAGTTTTTCTTGCCACTCTCTTGCACACACAAGATACCCAATATCCTCGTGAACCCAAAAATAAATGGAAGTGATTGACACGAGAGCTTACACGGATTTGTGCTGTAAACTGGCTGACTATGTTGGGAACAGTGACTTGCTGAAATTCAATACTCTTCTTCCTAATCGCAGCAGCAATGTCATTTTGCCCTATATCAAGGGTGAAAAGAGCCTTGGAGAAGTCCTCAGGTTTAGGGAGTCTGCTGCTAACGTAATCGCCCTTGTCTGAATTCACAAACATAAATCCATATCTAAGTAAGTTCATTATCTGCACGTTCTACTAGATGAGACTTGATAAAATAAAAGAAGAGACGTGTAAAATTTTTGTGTTGACAGTTGTCTAGTATTATTTACCAAACATATTGTTAAATTCTTGAGATGAGGTTTAGGATTACCATTTTTTTTTCCCCAAAAGTCACAGTCCTAAGAGGAGGGTTTTAGGTCTCCCTCTTAAGAGATGAATTGGGGTTAGGCTTTGATCCTACATTGTATAACAATGAAGGG